TCAAAATTCTGCAACATAGACTCCCACCATACATGGAAAGAGAAATCCAAGTGGTTCAAGCAGAGTTCAGGAAAGGAAGAGGCACTGGGGACCACGTTGCAAGCATACGATGGATAATGGAGCACACCAGTGAATTCCAAAAGAAAATCAGCATGTGCTTTATAGACTATAACAATGTCTTTGACTGCATAGATCATGAAAGGCTATGGAATGCCCTTAAAGACATGGGAGTGCCAACACATCTGATAGTCCTGATGAGGAATCTGTACTCTGGACAAGAGGCTACTGTCAGAACAGAACATGGAGAAACAGAATGGTTCCCAATTGGCAAAGGGGTCAAACAAGGCTGTATCCTTTCACCCTATCTGTTCAACTTGTATGCAGAATATATTATATCAATCATTTATTGATTAGTCCTTAGGCCATATTACGACAATAGACAAAGAATTCAATAAGAACATATTATAAGAAAAGCAGGCTTGGACACAGAAGAAGGAGGAGTGAAAATAGGAGGAAGGAATATAAACAATCTAAGATATGCAAATGACACCATAGTTCTAGCAGAAACCGCACAGACCTGGAACACCTACTAAGGAAAATCAAAGAAGAAAGTGCAAAGGCAGGCTTAATGTTGAACATAAAGAAAACAAAAATAATGACCACCGAGGGCCTTCACAAGTTCAACCTAGACAATGAAGAAATAGAAATAGTAAAAGAATTCCCATACCTGGGATCAAACACTGATAGAAATGGGGACTACAATCAGAAAATCAGAAGAAGATTAAGAATGGGGAGGGTGGCTATGAAAGAACTAGGAAGATTCTAAAATGCAAAGATACAACTTAGCACAAAAGTTAGAATCGTACAAGCCACTGTATTCCCTATTACCATGTATGGATGTGAGAGCAGGACAGTTAAGAAAGATGATAGGAAGAAAATCAATGCATTTGAGATGTGGTGCTGGAGAAGAGTGCTGAGGATCCCATGGATAGCCAAAAGGACAAACAAATGGGCCCCAGAGGAGACAAAGCCAGAAACCTCCCTGGAAGCCAAGATGACCAAACTGAGGCTGTTGTACTTTGGACACTCTGGAAAAAACAATAATGCTGGGAAAGGTGGAGGGAAGTAGGAAGAGAGAAAGGCCACATGCTAGACGGATAGATTCTATTAAGGAGGCCACGACAGAGCAGTGGAGGACAGAGGGTCTTGAAGATATCTCATCCATAGGGTCGCCATGAGTCGAGATCGACTCGAGGTCAGTTAACAACTATAAGACAAACTCCTAGATTTGATTCAAAGCAGTTCTTTCTGTTCTTAAACCAGTCCATTGTACCAAGCCAGAACCCAAGTTTTCCGTCACTGACCTCTGCCTATAGAAAGATCTTGTAGCACTTTTGAGACTAACTGAAAGAAAGAAGTTGGCAGCACGAGCTTTCGTAGACTTCAGTCTACTTCCTCCAATGCATATGGACTTAAGTCTATGAAAGATCATGCTGCCAACTTCTTTCATTTAGATCTCTCTACATACTGATTCTACAGACTAACATGGCTATATCTTTGAATTCTGACCTGCATGTTTGACTCTTACCCTTAAGCTCTATGGCTGAACAAAGAAACTCAGGGCCTTTGCAGACTGCCAGAAATAGTGCACATTAAATTGAGGCACTGACCTGGCTCAGTGCTAGGGAATCATGGGATTGTATTTTTTTTCTGAGACATTGATCCTCCTCTGTCAGAGAGCTCTGGTGTCACAATAAATTACAGTTCCCATGATTCCCTAGCACCAAGCCAGGGCAGTGCCTCAATTTAATGTGCACTATTTCTGGCAGTCTGCAAAGGCCCTCAGTTTCCTTGCCCTCCTAGCTTACCTTGACTGGTTGGAGTGGCACCAAGCCTTCCGCTGGCTTCTGTCTCTCTGCCCCAGCCATGAAGTGCCTGGGTGCCATTGTGAGCCATGCCACCTTGGGGTAGTTCAGTCAGAGGTTGGATGTGTGGCCTTCCACATGGGTGGGGTGGGTCCTCTTCCTTAGGCTTCTGGTCCCATTGTTTGGGTCCCTCCATGAGGCTGCTGTTAGGCTGGCAGAACTCCATGTCTCCCTTGGGGCTGGGGCTTGTCTGGCAGCTAGAAATGAGGTTAGGTGCAAGTTGGGTGAGAGAGAGAGGGGGAAAAATAACAGTAAATAATAATAAAGCCAGTGTGGTGTAATGGTTTTAATGTTGGACTACAACTCTAGAGATCAGGGTTCAGTTCCCCACTCAAGCATAAAAACCCACTGGCTGACCTTGGGCAAATCACACTCTCTCAGCTTTAAAGAATGGCAATGGTAAACCCCCAGTGAGGAACCTTGCCAATAAAACCCTATGATAGGTTAGCCTTAGGGTCAGCATAAGTAAAAAATGATATAGAGACACACAATTACAACAATTAATAATAATAATAACAACAACAAAAATAACAAATAGTTGGACACCCTCCTCATTGTCTTCTCTTTAATGTTTAGACTGTCAAATTGAAAACATCAGGGCATTCTCATATTCACATTCTGAGATGTAAAGGGATCTATTTATCCTTTGTCTTTGGTACAACTAGGAATTTTTCAAAAACTAGATCAGCCAGCAGAGATTGTTGTGCAGGTGGCCGGGAGGAATGGAGGTGGCAGGAGAAGGATGTGGTGTGTGGAGTGGTTGGCGGGGGAGAGAAATAAAAGAAAATAAAGGGTCACCCCTCTGCCCATTTTGTTGGTTCCCCCCCTTGTTGTTGTTGTTATGTGCCTTCAAGTCATCTCTGGCTTATGATGACCCTAAGGGGGGAACCTAACATGGGGATTCCTGAAGCACGGAAACTGAACAGCCTCCCACTTCATTTAAAAAATGAAGAATTTAGTAAATGAACAACAGCACTAAAGGCCCAAAACCAGTTTCAACTCAGGTACGCCTTTCTATGGCGGTGTGTGAAATCAGACACCCCCCCCCCCATACACCCACAAAAGCCCCTAAAGAAAGAGGTTTCGGAGGAGGGGGAGAGGCCAATACATACATTATTTATTAATGAACAACAGATCAGACATACAAATAAATATCAGATATACAGATAAAACAGAGCAAATAAAATTAACATCAAATTATGAAACTAAATATATTAACTGGGAATCAAAATGCAAAGTTCGCTAGTGAAAAAATTTAAAATTAAAACTTTAAAATGAATCATTACAAAATTTTAGAATACCATTTTACACCACCAGACTATTGCTGCTGCACAAAAGCTGACCACTTTAGTTGTTACCAATCGACACTGGTCTGCCAGCAAATAGGATACATAAAACTCATCAGTTCTTCCAGGAAAACTTCTAAGCATTGGATAAATTAAAATTCGACAATAACCATTATAAAAAGGGCAATTAAACAATACAAGTCCTACTGTCTCCACTGTGTCAGCTCCACAGGGGCATGTGCCTGCATATCATAAGGGATATTATTGTACCTCTCTTCCAATAAAGCTGAGGGTAAGACATTACATTTTGCTAGGGTGAATGCTTCTCTATATTTTGGAAGGGTTAAAACACTCAAATGGTTAGCTAACAAAAA